GCCACTTTGGAAAGCCAACTGGAGATGCCAAAAAAATCTTAATGTTGCACTTTTTTGCTCTATCCAGCTTCTAGGTAGATTCATCCAGAAGTTCAAAATGAAAAATTTGAAAGATTGCCAAACTTGGGCATGGTAAAAACCATGGGTTCAAAACTTCTGCAACTATCTTGTAACCACGGAAGCAAATGGCTTCAAAACACAACTGTTACAACTGCGCCTATTTTAGATTACGTGGGCCACGTTTATCAAGTCCGTAATAATTATTTATTTGAGAAAAACAGCGGCTTTTTAAATTTGTTTACCACATAAAAGTACCGAAAATTCTAAAAAGCTGCTTTTTCAAAGGGAATCAAGCTTGGTTTTGTTGCATAAATAAGTTTAGTAAAAATCATGTTTCATCTTGCAGAAAATTCGAAAGCTTCGTGTGTTGCTGCAGTTGCTTGTTCCATGACTTTGCCAAAAATCGAGAACTCCGAAGAAAAAATTTTTTGAAGCTAAAAATAGCAGATTAGGGGAATCTAAAAATATATTCTTGTAGTCCAAGAATTGTTCTATTTGACACCTACTTATTTCCCTTTGCTGCTTAACACACAAACAATTTCCATCCTGACATTTGCCGGCATTGCGCAGGGCCCTGAGCAACCAGACATTTGATTCATACCTAGATTGCTTAAGCTTTTCATTTCGTCGTATCAAGTGTTAAGGGAAACTAAGAGCGTGATTAGTTTTATCAACAAATTGAATGTTCTAAACAGCAAGGCTTCTTATCGTCAGCATTCAGTCATCTCAAGAGTTTGATGTGAGAATTAAGGTTTTCTACATGTTTACTCGGCAGAAATTTTCAAGCTCATGTTGAAGTTCCTCTCGTGCTCATCCGGGCGGGAACAACGTAGCACTTCAATTCTATAACACAAATGCCAGTACAAATAATGGGCTGTATGCCAAGATGAACGATAGCTGAAAATAAGCATACTGTACTCCTGAAGTCAATATGCATAAACTCCTTCTTTCCTGGAGCAATATGTTCTTCGCTGAATTGAAAAAGATCTCGAAAAGTAAGAACTAGAGCTCCCAGCGTTTTCTCCAAATTGAGTATCGCTACAGTGTAATTATAGAGACTAACATACGAGAAATTCGACCTATGCGACGCATACGGCTGGCACAAGCTACCGTTCATAATGGCCTCCCCAAATAATGCTATCAATCGCATCAGGTGTCAGCGAATGTAGGTGTTTGCGAGCGCCGTACGGCATCCGCCCGACACACTCTGAGCTGCTAATTGATGTGCCGTCAGATTGGGCAGCAGCATTGTAAAATCCACGCCTACCACAGACCTCCGTCTGGGAATTAAATTTTTGACTAGTTCCATCCGAATGTGTAATTGCAGAATACTCCTATGTATTTGTATTAATACAGTGCTCTGCAAGCAGAAACTTGCAAATAATACTGCTTATAGGCAAACGTACTAAGCGTTTAAGCCTCTTCAAAGATTTGCATTAAATTTTTTGATGCCAGGCAATACTCGAGTCCTCGCAGTCGCCTTCCAATCGTAGCTGTTCCCTAGTTAGCAGCTCTTTCGCTCTCATTGCCCTTCCGCTTTTTTTCCTCGTCAGTCATTTTGTGCTGTCATCTTAGCACTATGTTTGTTTTGCGCAATTCGTAATACTGGCCTATGTTGAGTTTAGCACGAACTGATAGAATTGGAAGTAGGCATCATGATATATTTTCGTCACTCATTCATTTGGAGAATTACTGGTTGCTCATAAATTCTCACTTATTTCATATAGAATTGTGCTGTTTCCGTTTACCTAACTCAAGGTTTTGTATTCTGAAAAAAGAAATAACTTTGCACTGAGAAAAAGTCGACCAACATTTTGCTTTCTGCCTTTGCAAAAGTCAGCTTCCAAAATATGCTTCAGTTTTCATGATTTTGAGTTTGGTCTCAGAAATTGCTAAAATGCTGCTAGCTAGCCTAGGAAATCTGCACCGAATTTATGTATCATAGCAGCAGTTCAACATTCAGCTCAACGTTCAACGTTTTATTATAGACAAAGATTCAGAAATAAAAAATATGTGAGAAGTCCAGAATCGCTGCAATCTTTTTCTGCAAAACAAAGTTTGGCACACACAAACGTCACATTGTGCTAGATTAGCGCTAAAATCAGATTCCTAACTTCAAGGTGTATTCCTACGAATAAATTGCGGTATTGAGGCATTTCTTCAAAAACATTTTCAAAACAGTTTTCCATTTTTATATGGTATTGAGGCCTGCAGTAATAATTTCTAAATCACTCTATGAGTAGAAATTTGCAGATTATTATGGCTATATAACGGCACTTTTACCAAGTACAAGCTCAAAATCATCACTTAGTTGAAGGCCCGTTTTGAAAGCTTTGTTCAAACTATACAACAAGCATTCTATCACTTTGAGATGAATTGACAAAACCCTGAAATTGCGTTAGCAAAGGCTTGTACGAGGTCCTGTCCAGTGAAGACTTTTAAGGAACTGCAAGAAACTTACCAAAAATGAGCTTTACAGCTGCGCATTCTCAGCTATTTACCTATTCCATGTCGAACTGTCAAATTCCTTGCGAGGATCTTGAACCTAGACTAAACCGTTCACGAGAACTTGCGCTTGAAATCTTGTATATAAAGCTGAATGTCTGTTTGTCTGTATGTCTGTATGTCTGTACGTATGTTCCGAATAGAAAATTCCATTTCTGAACCGATCCAGACCAAACTTGGCACACATACACTTCGGGCCCCAGCGGGTGTCATAGGCTACTTTTCGTCATCGATCGATATCGATTTTGTCGATTTTTATCGATTTTTTTGCAGAGTTCACCTACGGGGCTGGGATTTGGCACAGGGGGGTGATCGAGCATGGGAATTCCGAATACAATATTAGTTTTCAGTATTATTGATTACTTTTATCGATTATATCGATTTTTTTTGCAAAGTTTGAGCTACGGGGCTGGGAGTTTGCACAGGGGGGGGGAGGTAATCGAGCATGGGGATTCCAGGCTGTACAGGGATAGCGAGGGGACCTTTATTACGTGTTTTCACAGGGCCGGGCGGAGCCGGGTAAGCAAGCTAGTATGTTATAAACTACATTACTCAGGGCTCGGCACGAGCTGGCAGGAGGGAAATTTCAAAACGAAGTTCCCTCTGAGCTTGAAAATTTCGTACGAAGTCCCCTTCGACCTGTTTTGCCTTTGCTTAGGGCCACTTTGTGATTTGAGCAGATTTTTTAATTGCTCAGCAGAGCGAGAAATCTTCAAATGGCTATAAAACGCCGAAGCCAAAACATTATGAAATCGCTTTTTCTTTGTAAATAAACTTTTACAGTGTAGATACAATTTATGTAAAAAAGTATGAAAACTTATGTGAGCAACGGGTCACTGCTAGCTCAGCTGGCACCCAGCTGGCACGATGCATCCAGCTGATTCAGAAAAAAGTTCACACAGCCTTCATTCGCATAAGTTTTCATAAATTTTTGGGCGATAGTTCGGGTCCTCCAACGCGCATGCACGCACCAAATTTGGTGTCATATGATTGTTTTTTGTTTGTAAACAAGGCTTTTGTTTGTTTGGGGCGGAATTTCCGCGCTATGTTAGCACCGGCATGTCGGCGAATACCGACGGCATGCCGTTGGCATGCGATTGGCGTACTGACGGCATGCTAATGAACGAAGGTATGAAGAGTAAGCGCGCCGCCGGCATGCTGGCGGTTTGCCAGCTGCGTGCCGCGGCATGCCCCTGACACTCTTGCAAACAGCGGCGTCTAACCCGCAAAAACGATATTCTCTTTGCTTTCCGCCCCAAAAACGATATTCAGCTTGATCCGGTGCTAACTGTGCCGATCCCTGAAATTACTTCATCATCCCACGAATCAAAATTAGAATTTTTTGAGTATGCGAGAAATTATTGAGTTTGATATGAGGACAGTACTACGCAACGTACTGTCCTTCATTTTTCAACTATTTTAGGTACCCTAATTTCACGAGTACAAGGCTGCACCTTTTCGTGCTCTAGTGTGAGCGGGTCAGCCGCTTCGCTGTGCCTGGCAAAACGGTTGCTATGCCATACGATTTTCTTAAGATTACGCGCGGCACGGTAGAGGATTTCTAGGTCGTCAAATTTTTTGGCATGTTTGGGCTGTCTATCAGAAGAAATGCTATATCAGAAGAAGAAATCCTTTATGAAATTAGGGTATGAAATCTAACCTTTTGACTTGTTTACATAGTTTGCTTCTTCTTCTTGCACAACTATGCTCCTGCTTGTTGTTTGCAAAGACTGTCACGCAACGTTCAGAGTTTGCATGCGGAGGCGCTGTGTCAGTACGGGGCTCCTAAATTGCAGAGTCGTTTGCACTAGCGGTCGCGCGACCGCGTCGCGCCCGGGCATTTTGCCGGCGCCGGCGCCATCGATCGAGGCGGCGCCATTGATGCCCAGGCGCGACGCGGTCGCGCGACCGCTGGTGCAAACGACTCTGCAATTTAGGAGCCCTGTACCTCAGCGCCGTACCAATGCCATGCTACCGCGCGCCGAAACTCGAATGTAGAGCCTCAGTGTCCCCCTCAAAAATACCGCTAGGCACTAGTTCGTAAAACTAACCGTTTATGGAGCTTTTGATCAATGTCATACTAGCGGGAAATAAGTCTCGCAAATATTGTTAATAAGTTGCTGTGTAATTTGGCATTCTTCTATCACCTCATATCACGATTACTGCATTTTCTCGCTTCAATATTCTGCAATTATAGAGCATCCTTCTCTTGATCTTGGTACTGTTAACATTGTTCAATAACCAAACGTCGTAGCTCGATCCGAACGCTGTTATTTTTGATTTCGACGCAGTCACATAATTTTTGGTCAGCGCGATATCTTAGAATGTTTTCTTCCGTCAACCAATTATACAGTATCAACTCGCTTGTACAAAAGATGTTTCTTCGGGTGATGTATTTCTAAACTTGCAATCGAATAAGAAAACAACTTTCTAGAATGGCCGACGAAGATGCGTATAACGACTACTTTCTCGATTACAGAGCAAGTAAGTCAGTCTCTTGCTTCGTTTTCTTCCCATCAATTGAACTCATTCAAAAACATATCGAAAAAGAAAAGGATGTTGCCCAATCATCGTCGACACCTTCTCCTTTAATCTACCGAGTGGATTTCTGCTCTTTCATAAATTCTCCCCTAAAATATCCTTTCTCTGTATAGTTCAGTTAATCTATAGATGCCTTAGCTTTCAACAATATTGACTTGTTTACTCTTTTTCCTCAAATTTGACCACAGAGCTTCAATTTGGAATGGAACAACTAACCACACACCATTTTTGCACTTGCTTTTCAGATTGGATTTGTGTCCTCCAAGTATTGAAGTTGAAGTATTATTGAAGTACTAGCTGGCTTACCCGGCTCCGCCGTATCCGGACCAAACTTGGCACACATACACTTCGGGCCCTGGCGGGTGTCACAGTCCACTTTTCGTTATCGATCGATGTCGATTTTACCGATTTTTATCGATTTTTTTGCAGAGTTTACTTACAGGGCTAGGAGTTGGCACAGGGGGCGAAGTGAGCATGGGGATTCCGAATACAACATTAGTTTTCAGGATCGTCCATTACTTTTATCGATTTTATCGATTTTTTTTGTAAAGTTTGACCTGCGGGGCTGGGAGTTTGCACAGGGGGGTAATCGAGCATGCTGATTACGAACACAATATTAGTTTTCAGGATCGTCCATTACTTTTATCGATTTTATCGATTTTTTTTTGTAAAGTTTGACCTGCGGGGCTGGGAGTTTGCACAGGGGGGTAATCGAGCATGCAGATTACGAACACAATATTAGTTTTCAGGATCGTCCATTACTTTTTCGATTTTATCGATTTTTTGAAAATTTGAGCTAGGGGGCTGGAATTTGGCACAGGAGTGTAATCGAGCATGCTGATCACCCCCCTTGGGGGTGATCAGCACGCTCGATTACCCCCCTGTACCAACTCCCAGCCCCCTAGCTCAAACTTTGCAAAAAAATCGATAAAATCGATAAAAGTAATCGATAATCCTGAAAACCAATATTGTATTCGGAATCCCCATGCTCGATTACCCCCCTGTGCGAACTCCCAGCCCCCTAGCTCAAACTTTGCAAAAAAATCGATAAAATCGATAAAAGTAATCGATAATCCTGAAAACCAATATTGTATTCGGAATCCCCATGCTCGATTACCCCCCTGTGCGAACTCCCAGCCCCGTAGCTCAAACTTTGCAAAAAAATCGATAAAATCGATAAAAGTAATCGATAATCCTGAAACCCAATATTGTATTCGGAATCCCCATGCTCGATTACCCCCCTGTGCCAACTCCCAGCCCCGTAGGTGAACTCAGCAAAAAAATCGATAAAAATCGATAAAATCGATATCGATCGATGACGAAAAGTAGCCTATGACACCCGCCGGGGCCCGAAGTGTATGTGTGCCAAGTTTGGTCCGGATCGGTTCAGAAATGGAATTTTCTATTCGGAACATACGTACATACATACATACATACATACAGACATACAGACATACAGACAAACAGACATTCAGCTTTATATATAAGATAAATTATTATCAATATTATTTTTTTTATTAATTATCTAGTATAAATTATTAAAGTTTGCGGACTTGGAGTATGAAAGCCTATTTTCTTTCTTATTTGTCTTGTCTGCATGATCACTATCATCTGCGCAGTGTTTTTAGCGAGAAGAGTAGTGTGTAACAGTGGCGCACCGAGGAGGGGGGGGGGGGGGGGAGCCCCTCCCCGAGGGTGGGTCGCGAAATTTTTAAAAGCTACTTACTTGGGTTATGAAAATGGGCAGATGACTTGCATGTACTTGTAGACAATCAAACTAAGTTTTGAAATTTTGTGAAAATTCAAAATAGCTTTGTAAAAATTTTTTCGCATGCATGCTGCCGCCACGCGCCCTTTCTCCCGAGTTTGGGGGACATGAAGGCGCACAAATTATGGGAAGTATGCCAATGTTTCTCACAACCAGAGTGCATAACTGACGCCACGCACCTTTATTCCAAAAAAAAGGTCCTTTCGCCCCCCCCCCCCTCCCTACTTTGAACGGAAATCCAAGGACCGCTGCTGGTGTATAGGTTCTTTTGAGGCTTTTTCAAAATCGTAAATGGTTGCAGTTTTGAGCTATGGATGATAGATATCGAAGAATAAGCAAAATCGAACTTACAAGCTCCTTTCAGAAATCAGCGCACATGTAGAGTATAATTCTTATGAATGATGCGTGAACAACCGTTTTATTACTATACTCATTTACGCGTGCCAGTTTCGTGTTCTCTAAGCGGGAATGCCTTTCAAACTCCGCTTTTATTCCCCCACTAAGGTCCTCCTCAAGCCACATAACTTGGTAGAAAAAGAAGTGCTTGCAGTTGATAATACAAAAGGTGAGAATGGAAGTCTTCCAAAAACATAGTATATATATAGGGCCAATGCCTGCACCTACAACTACACCTACATCAATAACTTAATACTTTTTGCTACACATTTTGACATTTTATTCCCTTATACGCAGTACTTGACAAATGCTCAAACATCTAAGAAGTAGTACTCATGATAAGTTTCAATGCGCACATTACGACATCTTGACTGCACCAATATCCTTAAATGGTTCTGAAAATTAGGATAGAGCTAAGGTGTGCTTATCCCTAGGTTGTAGCACCACGGCTAGAGGCCACATATCATACCGTTTTGCTAAAACAAATGAGAGGATGGCTGGTAATAGTTCTAAAGAGTGATGGCTAAATTTACTGTTGTTAAGCCGTTTTACTACACAAGAATGCGTGCCAATGATAGATGATCACAATAACAGGTACTCAAACTTTTCGTTTTCTTCAACGCAGCGGCGGATCGAGGGGAGAGAAAGGGAGTGGGTAGCCAAATTTCTCGAAAGGAATCAACATTTTCACTTGTGAATTACCAAACAATCGTTGTTGAAAAAAGGTATAAATCAGCTTTGCGCACAGTTTTTCCAGAATTCTGGGTCTACGTACCTTACGCACTACAAAGTATGTAGTGTCCTGAAGTAAAGCTTTACGTTAATTTCAGATAAACTGTCTTCATCATATAACAGGGTCTAGAAAGCCTGAATACTGACGATTCTGACTGCGTAGATTTTGTGAGATTAATTAGGAAAAAAGTCCATAACTTCGTTCATAAAGTCGCAGATAATGAACATAGATTTGGAATCAGCATTCTAAGGCGCACTTACTGGTTAAATCTTACCTTGTACTTTGCCTATTAATCAATAATATCAAAAGAATCAGCTCGATTCGATAATAAATATAGCTGCTGCAAGGAGGAAGAGACTGCGTTAATAGGGCCAAAAGTTTTCGCCTATGAATTCGCCCTCTTTAGAATTTTCCAGCGTTGACCAGCTGTGGCATGCAAAAAACTCCAGCAAATTCAGTGATATGATAAAGAAGAGCAAAACTAATAAAATTGCCAACATTCAAATTGAATATAAAGTCGTCTCAAAAGTTCCGTCAGCTCCTTTGGGTCATAAAAACTTATAGGACACTGATGATGAACGACTTTTTCCTCTCTTTTTCCTCCTCTTTTCCTCTATTCGGCTAAATTCCAAAAAATTTCATTCCAGAGTTTCTGAAAGGAATGGGTAAGACGCAAATAGAGCAAACTTTTAGTCTGATCTGCTGTGTGGATGAGCGATATTGATATTTGTGTAAAGTAAAAAAGTTTGCTTGGAAGAATTAGCATGAAATGCGAAAACAGTGATCGGTGTTATACAGGTTATTTCGCTCTAAAAAAGTCGTGATGTCATCATATCTTCCATTCTCAGTTTTCGTGGTTTTTATTCTAATTTTCGTGAACACTTAGGTGCTTATTTCAAATTCTTATTCCATGTTGCAAAACGCTTACATCAATATCCCTCAAAACATTTCGCGGGGAAGAAAGAATACGTACTATGTTTCGTTGTTCGATCGCGTTCGTTCTCGGTGTTTCCCTACTAATTTGCATTTGGGGGAGACTGCCGCAGAAGAATAAAACCTTGTTGTATGTAGTATTCATAATTTATCATTGGAAACATGTCCGCTATTAGTGCTACTATCATCACATTCCAGCAATCTGCTTCTAAGTGATCATTTGGCAGTGATAATTCTTAGTGGAAAACTTCTCCAAATCGCGTTTCGGTTGCCGTTACTCCCTTCAGAAAAGGATAAGAATTGGTGGAACCATTGCACCTTCGTAGGTCATCATTTTAGAAAGTTATTTTATATCGGTTTGGATATTGAATATTTTCGGATATTGGTTTTGGCACAGTTTGTATTTTTTGCTAACTTGCTGTAAAATAGAAAAAGCCGATCAGTTTCTGAACGTTTTTTTCTGACTCTCTCATGGTTGGAAACTACACTTTACGGCATCAAATTGTAACTTTGGAGCAATGCGTAGACTGCTAAGGCAGAACGAAGTTGGCAATGAACTTCGAATTCAGGAAATTACCTCTTTGTTTGTGAGGCACGTCCATGCAATTCGTGCTCTTCCGATTCCCATGTAGTTTACTAATGGCGCTAGTGAAAGTATGCTCTAGATAACTCTTACTTTCTTGGTCGTCCTGACATAAGCATTGTTTACATGCGTGTTGTGTGGCTACGTCCCAGACGCATGCGAGGTAACTTACATTGCATATGACGTGACTATTCCGGAGGACTCATCCGCTCTTGCCAAAACAGCTACCAGAAAAGCAGGGCTCTGCACGTATTTCGCGCAATATATCCGAATTCAGGGCCATGAATAGAGATGGTCAAAGGATGAAAGCCAAGCGTGAGAGGGGGCCGCTTTTGGCACGACCCACTTCAAATTACAATTAGTTTGGTTGGGCAGGTTTTACCAATATTACTACCGATACACCTACTTCCAACGTATACAGTTCTTTATGTATGAATAAGAGCATGTTTGCTAAGAGCATGGGGCATGAGACAGACTCCATCGAACCTCTATACCTGTGATGACTTCATATTCGTCAGAACAAGCTCACT